CAACTTTGGTCGAATTTGCTGTTGCGATACTAAACTTTCATGAGGACCTATTACCTCCCTAGATTATTTAATACCGCATTTTAAACATATATATTTGCTCACGTGGACATAAAAAATAATGCAAAATTATAAATAGTAATGTGTCCACGTGGCACATATATACCTTTAAAATACACTATTAAATAGTTCAGGGGGTAAAAAAATACGGTATTAAATAGTCTAGGGAGGTAATAGGTCCTTAAGAAAGTTTAGTATCACAACAGCAAATCCGACCAAAGTTGGGATATTTTTCAGACCCTTATCCCAATATTTTATGAAGGAAACTATTTTACTCATAAACTCAAAAGCTTTTGAATCTTACTATAAGTTATTTCTATTTCTCTCTAGTTCTTTCTAATACTTTCTAGTTCTTTTTATTGAAAATACGAAAAAGGGCCAAAAATATATCTGGATTATCTGAAAAGGTTCTAATATACTTCTAGTTCGTATATTGGGCTACAAAATTAGGTTGGGGCAGTTCAGAAAAACTTGATGGGTTCGGAATTTAATTTTTATCTAATTGAAAGACGCTATATAATAAATAATAAATATTATAATAATTAAAAAAAAATGTTAGTTTTTATGGTAAAAATGAGCTAAAAAGTGGATTGAATGATATTTTTAGCCTTATAAATGAATGAGTGTATATTTGAACCTTTTCGGACATTCCAAGAATATTTTTAGCCATTTTCCTTGAAAATAACAAGCAACATCCGGAAATAAACAACAACATTCTTATTTATTTATATTAAAGTAAAAAAACAAATTAAATTAGGATAAAAAACATATTTCAATATGAATTAGGAGTTAGGATAAATAGACATTCGATAATAACTAGGATCTACTTATAATAATAAGAAACTAAATTAAACTGAAAGAAGAAAACATATTCCAATATAAACTATGACAAAGAAATCTTTAATAGACTTGAATCAGGTAAAAGAAATTTTCAGTAGTTTACCGTAACAAGGCTTGCCGACTCCTACTCATATCGTTCACTATTTAAGTTTACAAGCGTTCCGTCTTTTGGCTTAATTGTCAGTCCCTTTCATCGGCTTAACTACATAATAATAATATTTGCTTCCGTAAAACTCATCAAATCTACAAAATCTGTCCTCCTTTCGCTTTCTTCTATATCAGGTAATTTTCTTCATTAATCTGTTAATGATTTGTTTAATCACACTTTAACTGTTTGAGTTTCTATTTAATTTAATATTAATGCTATCTAATCTACAATGGACAGTTATCCCATCACATATCACAAATTTTCTTCTTTCCTAGTTCAAAATTCGTTCTGTTTCATCTTGATCAGCGCTCAATTCTTAATCACGATCAATATCCAATTTATTTATTTTAATTAATCCTGTTCGATTGGAATGTGGTGAATTAATCGATTGATTTATTGTTGTTGGGGACTGTTTGGTTTTTTATTGTGAGAGAATGGAAAACTGAAGGCAGATCTGTTAATTGTACAATTTTGAGTTCTTCCAACCGTCAAGATTAACATTAATACATGAAGAAAAAATGTAACTTTACCTAGTCGGATTTCTCAGAACTGTTAATGTTGTGTGAGGCAGATTTGGGATTAGAAGTTTATGGGTTCATACAATAACCTTTTAAGTTAGTATTTAATAATAGTTTGATTCATATAGTCAGATAATTTACTATATATTTTGTGAATTTCTTAATACAAATTAAATACATGGTGGAACATAAGCTATTGGGTTCACGTGGACCCTTACCTCTTATAGGTAGGTTCCCCCTGGTTCTGTAGTGCCATTCATCCTCAATGCTACTGCTAGTTCTTTTGTTTTTGTTGATTTGTAAACCACTCATGATTTAACCTGACATTTTTGTTCTTTATTTGGAGTGTGGTCGCCATCACCCAACTAATGTAATCTCTTATTGCTATAGCTTTAAGAGAAGCTTTTTTTTTTTTTTTAAATTTTTACATAAGTTTTCATCTATGTAGGAAATACCAATTAGTTTGGGATATATTTTTGTTATGTTAGTACTTGCGTTTTACGTCCTGTGATTTCTACAACTTTTTTGGTTCTGTCCAAGATTTTTATGCCAGTAGAAAATATAGAGAGCTATAGTATATTTTATATTTTTTTAATCTTTCTTTATTATTGCATTGTCTCCCCATACTTGAGCCGGCTGAGTTTCTATCAGAAACAATCTCTCTACCTTCGCAAAGTAGGGGTAAGGCTACGTAACACTACCTTCTCTAGACAGCACATGTACACTGGGTTTATTGTTGTTATATAATTGCTGGTCTAAGATGAATTCAAATGGAGAAGCATGGTTAGAACCATGTTTATAGCACTGACCCCAACTTTTTTGGGATTGAGGTGTTGTCGTCAGAATATTTATTGACTGGAAAAGAATTTGTTTCTGAAGATGCATTCTTCTCCCCTTTTATGTTGTTGCTTTTAGGGCTCAATGAGTCCGCATTAGGATTAACTTTTCTTTTTTTGTAACCAAGTCGTTT